AGAAGGGGGCCAGGCGTTTGTGTGTATATATATATATATAGGCATACATATATACATATACATATACATATTACACATATATAGATATGTGTGCGTGTGTAAATGTGCGCATATGTGGATGTATGTATGCATGCATGTGTGTATGTATGTAAGCATGCATGTATGTAATTATGTATGTATGTACGTACGCACGCACGTATGTATGTATGCATGTATGCATGTATGTGTGTAGGTATGTATGTATGCATGCATGTCTGTCTGTATGTATGTATGTATGTATGTATGTATGCATGTGTGTATGTATGTCTGACTGTCTGTCTGTCTGTCTGACTGTCTGTCTGTCTGTCTGTCTGCCTGCCTGTCTGCCTGCCTGCCTGCCTGCCTGCCTGCCTGCCTGCCTGCCTGCCTGCCTGTATGTATGTATGTATGTATGTATGTGTGTGTGTATGTATGTATGTATGTATATATGTATGTATGTATGTATGTATGTATGTATGTATGTATGTATGTATGTATGTATGTATGTATGTGTGTGTGTATGTGTGTATGTGTATGTGTATGTGCATGTGCATGTGCATGTGTATGTGTATGTGTATGTATAGAGAGAGACGTTCGGTCCCCCCCCAGCGACCCTCCCCCAGAGCTTCGATACTGCGCATTACTATCGTCCTCCTCCTTCCTTCTTCATTCGCCTCGTCGTCCTCCTCCTCCTCCTCCTTCAACGGCCCAGAGAGGCCCTAAAGACGGCCTCCGAAGACGTCAGACAAGCCAGAAGCCACCAAAGGTGGCCCAAAAAAACCCAAGAGGCCCCAGGAGGCATCCAAGAGTGCTTTGAGAGGCCCTCAAGGAGAACCCGAGGAAGGAAACATCATTGATGCCCACTAAGTTGTTGCAGGATTTTGAGGTCTTCGCCTGCTTGGGTCCCCGACCGCCCACTACGGCCAAAGGGGCCTTCAGGATAGTTCCAAGACGGTCCGCGAGGCTCCCAAGAGGGGCCTCAAATCGGCCGAAGAGGTCCCGAGATCGCCCGAGAGGCTGCCAAGAAGGCTTCAGCAGGCCCCGAGACGGCTTCCGCAGGCCCCGAGACGGCTTCCGAAAGCGCTAGTCGAACCAATAGCTCCCTAAGACGGCCAATGAGGACCCGAGAAGCCCCCGAGAGGCCCAATGAGGCCCCCGAGAGGACCCCGAGAGGCTCACAGGAAACACCCTGGAGGCCACCAGAAAAAGGCCCACGAGTCTTCTTGTTTTCTCATCTGTCCCATATTTTCCACATCCTTCTCCTCCTCCCCCTCCGCCTCTTCTTCCATACCGCGGAGGGCGAACGCTGAGGCCGAGGCCACGCCATTCCTCAATTCAGACCAGTCATCGGAACTGCGCCGTTTCGGCGGTAGGCAAACCTCCCTTTGGCAAATCTCCCTTTAGTGAAAACGGCCTAAGACCGAAACCGACAAACCTGGACCCGCAAAAATGAAGGCCGTCACGCCCTCTCTCTCGCGAACCGAAAACGGCCAATTCCCTAATCGACGTGTCAGGGTAGGAGGTCTATCACCCTCCGACCGTTCCTGCACTCGGTGTCCCTCCTGCTGCGCTGCAGCCCAGGCGCGGCGGCGCAGGCAGCTGGAAATCTGCCCCTTCTGAATGTGACTCCTCTGCGGCCCCTCGGGCCCCCCTCGAAACGGGACATCCCCAGCGTTATGTCGGGCGTGTCCCCCTACAGGGGGATTTCGACGAGAAATGAAACAAATACACTAAAAATAATCAAAAAATGCTCCACAAATAGTCTGGGGACTATTTCTTGAGTATTGTTTGGCCTTTTTGTAAGATGTTTGGGGTATTTTTAATTTTTCGTCGAAAATCCCCCTGTAGGGGGACACGCCCGACATAACCCTTGTCAAAGGGCCCCGCGGAAACTCCCGGGCCCCTGTGAGAGTCCCTGCCGGGCCGTGCGAACGGTTCGGCGGGACGCCCCCACCGAGGCCCCCAAGACGGCCCCGAGGCGGCCTCCAGCGGCCCCCGAGATCCCCGCCACACGCCCGACGGCAGCCCCAAGACCACCCCGCAGAGGCTTCCGACCCCTCCCCCAAAACACATCCAGTGTTCGTCGGTGTTGGTACGATTTGGGGCTACTCGTCTACAGTCGGGGCGTTGACCTAAGGAACCCTCAATAAGGAACGAGACCCCTTTTTCCCATACGTTGAACTTCGATTTCCCATGGAAAACCCGAGGCAAACTGTGAAACAATCAAGGAACACCGAGCCCCGCCCACACGAAAAGGGTTCCTTCGTCAGCGCCCCGACTCTATTCGGTACTCTGGGCGTCCGACACACGCCCGAGTGGCACCGGAAACCGCTCGAAGACGACCCACAAGGGCTTCCTGACACGCCAGGGAGCTCCAAGACGGCTCAGCAGCTCCGACCCCCCCTCAAAAAAAACATCCAGTGGTCGTCGGTGTTGGGGTACGACGTGGGGCTGCTCATCGATTCGGTACTCTGGGCGTCCGACAACCGCCCGAGAGGCACCGGAAACCGCTCGAAGACGACCCACAAGAGCTTCCTGACACTCCATCAAGGAGCTCCAAGACGGCTCAGCAGCTGCCCGCAGCTGGCCTCACGACGGCCCGAACCTGGCCCAAAACGCCCCCTGGAAGCATGCAAGCCACGACCCGAGAGCACGGCTCGCGGCATTGGTGGCCCGAAGAGCCCCCCCGGAGGCCGCCCAAGGGCGCCAGGGGACGTCTCCAGAGGCGCCCAGGGAACCCCTCACAAACTTTTCGCGAGATCCTCCCTTCTTTTCCTCCTCCTGCTTCTCCCTTCCTCTCCTCCTCCTCCTCCTCCTCCTACTACTCCTCCTCCTCCTCTGCGAACAACTCTGAGGAGGAAGGGGAAGGGTTCGCGGAGCGAGAGCGGGGAAGAGGAAGAGGAAGAGCAAGAGAACACATGGGGGAAGGTGAAGAGACATCAAAATGATAGCGGTGATGTCGATCATCGCAAGCAAGAGCGATCGCTGTTTGATTGATCTATCTCTCTCTCGTTCTGCCTGCATGTTGAGCGTGAAAGACCAAGGTGCATGGCGCGAAGCGCCAGTCTTGTATATCCGCCACCGTGCCGCTGGGCACGGAGTCGGCGTGTCCTCAAGTCTTTGCCCAGTCCTCGAAGCCTCATTCCATCCTCAGTCCTGACGAGTGTTTGAGGGGCCCAAAACCCAAGTTGCCAATCTTGGCGGTGCCAAGGAGGGCCCCACAACCCAGGCACGGTGGCGGGCTGGGTACACGGATAAATTGTATATGCGTATCTGTGTATGCATGGAGAAGTGCATGCTTCTTTGTACATTGAAGTACCATGATACAGCTTTATGTATGTATACATAACTGTATATCCGCCAGTCTGGCGTGTGAGTTTCTGAGAGCGTGGGCTTGAGCTCGCTCAAGCTTCGCTCTGCGGGGGGGGGGGGACCTCCCGCATTTCCGACCTAATTCCTTGCAGAGCGGACCCCCCCCCCAGAGCGCCCCCCCCCCCCCCCCCCAGCCCCCCCCCCTCCTGCAGAGCGGACCCCCCACTTGCGCCCCCCCCTCCTGCAGAGCGGAACCCTCCCCCCCTCCCCTGCACCCCCTCCCCTGCAGAGCAGACCCCCCCTGCAGCGGGGACCTCCCCCCTGCAGCCCCCCCCCCCCCCAGAGCGGACCCCCCCTTCTCTGCACCCCACTCCTGCAGAGCAGACCCCCCCTGCTGCAAACCCTTCCCCCTGCAGAGCGGACCCCCCCCCCCTGCAGCCCCCCCCCCCCCCCACCCCTGCAGAGCGGACCCCCCCGTGCAGCCCCCGCCCCCTGCAGAGCGGACTCCCCCCCCCTGCACCCCCCCCCCCTCCCCCTTGCAGCAGCAGACCCCCCCTCCTGCAGCCCCCCCCCCCTGCAGAGCGGACCCCCCTCTCCCCTGCACCCCTCCCTCTGCCGAGCGGACCCCCCCCTTGCAATGCCCAGCTCCCTCCCGTCGTCGTCGTCGTCGTCGTCGTCGTCGTCGTCGTCGTCGTTGTCGTCGCGTCGTCGTCGTCGTCGTCGTCGTCGTCGTCGTCGTCGTCGTCGTCGTCGTCGTCGTCGTCGTCGCTCGCGTCATCGTCGTCGTCGTCGTCGTCGCTCGCGTCGCCGTCGTCGTCATCGCCGTCGTCGTCGTCGTCGTCGTCGTCGTCGTCGTCGTGGTCGTTGTCGTCGTCGCTCTCGTCGTCGTCGTCAACGTATTCGTGTTCGTCGTCGTTTTCGTCTTCCTCGTCGCCGTTCATTTCCACAGGCACCCGGAGCGCCCCCGATCGGCGGCACTGGCCGGAGGCCACTACTATATATGAATGTATATGCTCATGTACGCTATGTCTGTGTGTTTGTCCGTCTGTCCTTCTCTCTTGCTCTTTCTCTTTCTCTCTCTCTCTCTCACTATCCTTCTATATCCCTCTGTCGTGCGACACAATGTCTTCATACGCTTCCAGGATACACATCACCCTACCCCAACACCGTCGGCACGGGCACCGCCATTCGGTGCATCTGCCCCGTGACGCGCTCCGTCCCCCCACAGACTATAAACCATCAGTCCAAGCGCCCTGCCCCCCCTTCCGAGGCACGGCCAGGCTCTGGGCGATTCCCCCAACAGCTTGCCTCGGAGCGAGAGCCAGAGCCACTGAGTGCAGGCACTGCTCGGGGGAGAGTGCGGGCACCTGCGCGCAAATCGCCACATCGGAGGCCCCGGTCTATGGGTGGGCCGTTCTCGAGTCGGGGAGCTGCTTGCCAAAATCCATACCGTTCGCCTCTCGGGGGCCTCTTGGGGCTCCTGCTCCTCCTCCTCTGGCCCGCTCTCAGGGCGGGTCCAAGTCCTGCTCCTGCTGCTCCGGTTGTCGTCGTCATCGTCGTCGTCGCCGTTGTCGCCGTCGCCGTCGCCGCCTTCGCCGTCGCCGTCGCCGTCGCCGTCGCCGTCGCCGCCTTCGCCGTCGTCGTCGTCGTCGTCGTCGTGGGGCGGTCGC